TATATATATATATATATATGTATGTATGTATGTATGCCGACTATTTTCTTGGGCGCCCATTTAACTTCCCTTATGAATAGTACTAGCTTGTTATGGTCCTTTTGGAGGAACTGACGACACTGGATTTGTAACTCAAGTTAGTAGGCCATTTCCAACTATAGCTTGAGGCCCAAAATTAACAACAATCTGACTAATAATAATGTCTACTTGCATTGCCAGTAGTTGGGGGAGAAATTCAAAAATATCTAAGTTGTCATTAAAAATAGTCACAGTTTTAAAAGTAATAGAAATTTTGACACTTTTCATGTAAAGATAAATCTGAACGAAAACACTGTTCAAAATTCGGAAAAATGCTCCAGTATAATATACTGAAATTCCAGTATAATATACTGGAACTCCAGCATAAGTATACTGGAGTTCCAATATACTTATGTTGGAACTCCAGTATAATATACCGGTACTCCAATCTCCAGTATATTATACTGGAACTTTCTGTGTGTTGGAGTTCCAATATGCTGGAAGTTCATACACAAGTGCCCCGATCTCCAGTATATTATGCCGGAACTTTCCGTGTTGCAGCAAAATAATGGCTATTTTTCAATGACTTTGCAAATGTTGGCTATTTAATGACCAATCGAAAAACTGGCTAGCCCGTGCTATTTTTACAGTAGTTGACTATCTGGACCAAAACTATAACTATAACACTCAGCTGAAATGATCCTACCATGGGCCTGATAAGGAATTTTGGGCCTAAACGCATGATTGAACTCGTATATATTGACAATCTGATTTGTTGAGAAGATGATCAAACTTGTAGAACAAAGCTACGGATGTCAGGCCCTTATTTTCTCATGCAAAATGGTTAACGTGGATCATATTGTGGTCCAATTTTATTGGATGTCCACGAATGCACAAGATGGACCATGTTTGGGAGGCCAAGCAAACAAAGGGTTTCATGAATCCCAAAAGAAAACTGAAAATCCTGTTAAAATAGCACGAGCTAGCCAGTTTCTGTACTGATCATTTAAATATAGCCAGCGTTTGCCAAGTCATTGAAAAATAGCTATTATTTTACTGCAATAGAGACCGGTCCAACATAATATACTGGGGTTCGGTGCACCTGTGTATGAACTTCTAGCATATTATGCTGGACCGGTATACTTTGCTGGCTCCAGTATAATATACTATTGGAGTTCCAGTATATTATGCTGGAGTATTTTTCGGATTTTGAACAGTGTTTTCGTTCAAATTTATCTTTACATGAAAATGGCTAAATTTCGATGACTTTTGAAACTGTGACTATTTTTGAATGATCACTTGTAAATCTGGCTATTTTTGAATTTCTCCCGAAAATCCTAAAATGGTACTACCTCTCAAAATATTGTCATGATAGTAATAATAATATGCCCAGTACCTAGGGTGACAAAGAGGGTGTTTGGCTAAGCTTATAAGCTGGTCAAACTAGTTTATAAGCACTTTTCGGCTTATCTACGCGTTTGGTAAAATTAATAATGCTTATAAGCCAAGTGCTTATAAGTAAAAAATAAGCCAAAAGCCATAAGCTGGTCATCTCCAGCTTATGAATTTTTAGCTTATAAGCACTTTAAGTTTTACCAAGATTTTTACTATTTTATCCTTAAAATATTCTTTTTTTGGAACAAAACTCTTACATTGATACTCACTGCCTCAAGTATTGTTTCAACCTCCCCCCTCC